AATAAATAAATAAATAAATAATTACCTCTCCCCAAAAACCCCCAATTTAAAAAAAATATGAAATTATAAAAAATGCTCAAAAAAGGAAAAAATTTTTAAAAATGAATGTATACAGTGTATTCCCATTTATACAAAGTTCTAAATCTTTAGATATTGAGCACTTGCAACATGGCTAGTGCATGGGGGGTGGTTACAGCTTAGCAGTACAGCACATGCTTAGCATGCAGGAAGTCCTAGGTTCAAACCCCAGGATCTCCATTAAAAAAATAATAATAATATAATAAAAGGAAAGAAACATGGCTGGTGCAAATTGAAATGTAATACAATCATAAAATACATGTGGGATTCCAAAGACTTCATACAACTCCCCCAAAATATCTCATTAATAATGCTTTCATATTGACTATATATTTAAATGATAATATTTGCATTAAAATATATTATTAAAATGAATTGCTTCTTCTCATTTTACTTTCTTTAATGTGGATACTAGAAAATTTTAAATTACATATGTAATTTAATTTGTCTTATAATATACTTCTGCTGGGCCACTTAGAAATAAAGTAAAAGAGGGACAACATGTAACAAGCCCACTCAGGGATTATCTGATTCTCTGGGGTAATAGGAATATGTCTTAGTATTTATTATTGATTAGGGACCAAACTCTATAAAGCTTAGATATTAACTTTGCAAATAATACAATGGATTGATAAGTTGCAAATGACTTTTGTCTGGCAAAGATGCAAATAATTTCTGAGGGAATGATTTCTGCCCAGTAAACAATAAAGCCCCAGAAATTAAGGTTTTATCACCCTGTAAGACAAGAATTAGGTTTTGAATCTCACTTTTCAATCTTATTTCAGCATTCTTTCTTCCCTTGACTAAGTATGCTTCCATCTTGCCTATATGTTTTTGAATCAACTGTCCCATCTTGCTGATTCCCTCTATTCTGAGCACTTACTACATGGCAGGCTCTGAACTTGACTTACTTTATCAAGTTCAAGTCTCACAAGAGTCCTAAAGGTTGGAACTATTATTATCCCCATGTAAGAGATGAGGAAACTGAGGTTTAGAGAGAATTTCCTAGCTCACTTATAGTGAAACAGGGTACAGAGTAGTAACAGAGCTGGAATTTAAACTTGGGTTGTCTGACACGAGTCTGGCCTCTGAACCTCTATTTTACATTGTGTCTTTCTTATGAAGGAAACTGTGTCCCCCTCAGTAAAGATATGTTGAAGTCCCAACCCCCAAGACCTGTGAATGGGGCCTTATTTGACAATAAGGTCTTTGCAGATTTAATCAAGTCAAGATGACTAATATCTAATACGACCTTATAAGAAGAGAGAAATTTGGACACAGACAGGGAGAATGCCACATGAAGAAGGAGGCGGAGATTGGAGCAAGGCACCTACAAGCCAAGGAACACCTGGGGCACCAGAAGCTGGAAGAGGCAAGGCAAGATCCTTCCCTAGAGGCTTTGAAGGGAGTATGGCCCTACCAACACCTTGATTTTGAACTTCTGGCCTCCTGAACTGTGAGACACTAAATACCTGTTGTCTTAAGCCACCCAGTTTGTGGTACTTTACCATGGCAGCCCTAGGAAAATAAGTCTCTGAAATGGACCACACAGGGTGGCTACATAGTGTGCAGGTGAGTGAGGTACCATCAGCAATAGGGGACCCATACCTGGAGGGCATCTTTTCTCTGTCCCTCGTCTGTGTTTGCAAAATGCCCTGCCCCAACTCATAGGGCACCATATCATATGTGTCTGGGTCTCCCCAACCACAGTGGGGACTTCCGGAGGTGAAAGCTTTATGGGCTATGATAGTTATACTAAACTAATAGTAAACTGATCGCAATGCTAAAGATTACTGCCTGGTGGGAAACAGTCGATTATTTCCTTCTGGATATTGACCAGTTCAACATCCACTTATAAATTTATTTCAGCATTCCTGATCGCTGATATGCATGTGTTCTTGGAGTTCTCCTTTGAACTGGCTGTAACATTTTATAGGTTCCCTCATTCATGAATGAGCTAAATAAAATCTCTGACATATGTTCATCTTGTATCTGTGTAAGAGCTATGATTTTACATTTTAAAAAATAGTATACTTCAACACCTGCTCCAGCTCTGAGACTGTACATCGTCAGCCACGCAGGCCTGAGCAGGAGGCAGGGGTTCAGGACAGACTGGGGAGAGGCGAGAGAAGCCTTCATGCCAGAAGTCCTAGGGGAAATCCAAGAGTCTTTCCCTCAACCTTGGAATTTCTTCTAAAGATCAGAAAAAGCCCCCACGGAGTAGAGGTGATAAATTTCCAGCCTCAACACCCTCAGAAGCCCAGGAGTCCTTTTACATCACCAAGATGGTAAAAAAAAAATAGGCTCAGAGTTACCTGAAATCATGTGACATGCTGGTTATTAGGTCCAGCTTGTCAAAGCAAAAACTGCACGGGACAACATTAAACAGGCAAGAAGCCTTCGTTCAAGGGCATTGCAATAGGAGACAGGGGCCACAACTCAGTCTGAACTCAACTCAGCTCAAACAAAAGGCAGCTGGGTTTTTAAGAACTGGGGTAGAGGGTGGGGGTCATAGGTCATTTGTGGTTGCTAATTGTCTTCACCCAAAGGAAAAGGAATCATTCTTGTATTTTGAGGACAAGAGGTAGCTTCACAACTTGGAGAAAGGCATCCACCAAAATCAGGCTTCTAAGGAGACTGGGAGATAGAAGAGCTATTGCCTTTGATATTTATATTTCAGAGAGATGGTTCCCAGGTTCGTGTGAAAGACATTTCCTGGGTTGTAAAACTGGTGAGAGGCTTTCAAAGAGATTTATATACATCTCAAAAGGGCAGAGAAAGAATGTACAATGGTAAGTTTTCTAAAGAAGTAAATGCGCTAAGAAACAGGAGGTCGGGGCCACTGTGCTTAGACCATCCAGATTCTGGAAGGGCTGAGGTGAGAGGGAAGTCAGCGGTTTAGAGGCAGGAACAAGTCCATCTAAAGTTTAGTTAAGCTGAGGGAAAAGTTACAGCCCCTTGGTCATGCTCTATACAGCTGGTCTGCTTGGGTTCAAATTCAGACTCCACTGCTTATTAGCTTGGTGACCTGGGGCAAGTTACTCAACCTCTCTGGGCCTGGTTTCCTCATCTTATAAAATGCAAATGATTAATACTTAATTCATAAGATGGTGGTGTAGATTAAATGTGTTAATCCAAGTACAGCACGTAAACCAGTACCTGGCACATAATAAATATATCACTTGCTGTGGGTTAAGTTACTTGACCATCCCGAGCCTGGGTTTCTCCAATCATCCCATCCGAGAATTCATATGTAAAATTAAATGAAATAATGGCTGCAAATAACCTTAGCACAAGCTTGGCACCTGGTAAGGCTCTTAAATGACTAACATTCCCGGAACTATAGTTACTATTACTGATATTTGTATTGTTTGTTGTTCAGGCTCTTATTCCGTATTTTGTTACTATAATCACTATTTACTATTATTTTATTTTATTGTTACCTCACACTACCCCCTATTATTAATAGTAATATTGGCAATGTTATTATTATTATTTCACTATTCCCCACATCTGGTCCCCTCCCTCAAGCAGTCTCTAAGGCTGCCAGGGCCTCTCCTTCCTAAGCCAGGCTTTTCCTCCCTGGGCCTCTATGCCTTCATCTGATTGGAGGAGAGGCGGGTGGGGCTCAGGCCCAAAGTCTCCAACAGGAAGCAAAGACTGACAGCAGCACCTTACATCCCTCTGGACAGGTGGGACGCTGGGTCAGAGCCACTGAATGAGTCCTAAGAAACCAGACAGGTGGCAAGGTGGGCGGGGCCTGGGGAGGTGTACAAACCTGTGAAACAAAGCTCCCCTCTGCTCCCAAGCATGGCTAAAAGCCCTATTCACCCCTCCATGCTGCTCAATGGTCTCATCCGGTCTCTCCTTCACCAGTGGGATCGTCCATAAGTGTGGCTCATCCTCAGGAGACAAAGGAGTTGGAAGCCAACATCCCCCAGGGCTGTGACTCAGGATCTCAGCTTCTTTATCTGCTAAAGGTCTTGACTTTCCCATCCTAGCCCAGTTTCAGGTTAGTGTAAGCAATGAGGTAAAAATGACTTCTTTAAAACACTATACAAAGTAAACGTTTATTGAAGCCTTTATGTGCCAGACATTGACCGCACAGAGGCCTAAGGTACAGTCCCTGCCCTTGAGGAGCTCACAACTAGAAAAGAAGACTCCAAAACGATTCCCACAAAGATGGAGGGGCAGAGGGCAGAGCCTTCAGAGGACGGAGCCATTTTGTCAGCCCACCTCTCCTATTCCAGGTTGGCTGTGAAAAAGCGAATAGGAAGCTTAGCATCGTCTCTCCTACCTTCCCTGGGACAACTGACTTCCCTCTGTCCTAGGCACCGAGAGGAGACCAAGGAAAGACAAAGATGAGGGGGATGCAATTGATGCCCTCAAAAAGCTAGGACACCCTGGCAGGATGTATACAATGGTGACTTTATTTCCCGAAGCCGCAAACCAGTGCAGCAGAAGCTGGGGACAGGGGCGGAGGGGGGGAGACTGGGAGAACAGGGGCTGGGCCAGCCCAGTCCAGTGGTGAGAGAGGGAGTAATGGGAAGAGAGGGGACCCAGGGCCGAGGAAGTAAGACAAGAGGTGGAGAGGCTCAGAGTAGGATGCCAGCAGCCGCAGCCAACAGAAGAGCAACCCACCCTGCCGATGGAGCTGCAGAGCCTTTATTATGGGCCTCATCTTTTATAGGGTACTGCCCCATATTCCTACGGTCCTGGTGGCCACCGGCACCTCCAGCCACTGGCACCTCTTCCTGGGAAGTCTCAGGTTTGACCTCTGGTGGAGAAGTCTGGCTGGTAGGGGCTGGGGTGGGTTTGGTAGTGGTGGTAGAGGTAGAGGTGGTTGGGGCTGGGGTAGAGGTAGTGACGGAGGTGGTTGGGGCCGCAGTGGTGGACCGAGGAGGGGGCAGCAGGACAAGGGGCGGGAATCGAGGAGAGAAGTAGGTCCTGTTGCGGAGGTCCGAGTTACAGCGGGACCCCTGGCAGCAGGAGCCGCTGAGCATGAACCCCGGGCCTGTCACCGAATCCCGGGTGCAGAACTCATCCTGGACGCAGCCCCGGACAGGCAAGGATACAGTCACATTAGCTGCAGGAGGGAGACACCGGTAGGTCCGTGATTGGAGGGAGGGTACAGCCAGAATGAAACTTAGGGGCAAGACAAGAGCAAGAACCCCCAAAACAGAGGACTGAAGGGCTCTTCATCCATTAATCCAAAAGTTACAGTTCAGGCCCCACTTTGAAAAACACCGTCTCACTGTCTTTGGTGCATGGTGGACCACATTTCCCACAGTACTTTGAGAGGAAAAAATGTGTAGGCTGAACTACAAGTCCCACAATGCCTTGGAAGAAAAGTTTGGACTGGGATACTCTTCTCCAAAGAGCATTGCCCCACTCCTCCCCAATTCCCGCCAAAATTCAGTCAGAGTCAGAACTACATCTCCCATAATACACCTGGCAGAGGATGGCATTCGAAGACCATCTCCCATGGTTCCCTGAGGCTGAGGACAGGAGGCTAAACGGCGTTTCACCTAATACTCTGGGACATGTGGCGACCCTAACCCCTTCGGTTTTAAGGAATCAGAAATAGATTCCCCACGATACTGGGCAGAAGCTTGGAGGCTTAAATACGTTTCCCATTGTACGTCCTCCCAATTCTGCACTGGGCAGGCCTCCATGGAAATTTATTTCTCCCAAAACTCTAGGACAAAAGCATTCCTATTTCCGCGCTGTTTTGGGGAGAGGGCTGCATTTCTCACTGTGCTCTAGGACAAGCCAAGAACGTAGGCCTACAGTTCCCAGAATGCACCAGAGTTGGGGGAACTCTGGGTAAAGAGCTATCTGCCGCCCATGAGGCCTCAAAAAGGCTACCACAACCCCTGCAGACCCAGCGCTCCAGAGCTCGCTCACCTGCAGTCAATGTGACGTTGCCGTCGAAACAGCCCTTGTAGCCGTGGTCGCTGGCGTTGTAGCAGCTCACAACAGGTGGCGCCGTACCCTGGCACGCCTCGCGGCTCAGCCCCACGCAGCTGTAGCACTCGACGCCGTTGGGCTCGTAGGCACTCTCATTGCCTGCGAGGGGAGCGAGGAGGAAGGAGGAGGTCGAGGGGGTTCAGGAGGCACAGCTCTACTCGGCGTCCCTGTAGCCGACGGCTCTGCCCCTCGACATACAATCAGCTCAGCCCCTGGCCCCGCCCTGTACAGTGGCCCCGCCCATTGATCATAGCCCCGCCCCTAGCATCTCCGTACGTCAATAAAGTCCCGCCCCCTGTCTCGAGGCCCCGCCTCCTATCCGCGCGGCGTGCTCCCCTTCCAGCTTGTGACCGCCCCTAGCCGCCCAGCCCCGATGTGGCTCCGCCTCTGGGCCTATGGCTCCGCCTCTGGGCCTATGGCCCCGCGTCCACCGACCTGCAGGGTTGAGCGCTCTCGAGGTGAGGTTGAGCTTGGCGTTGCAGCGGTCCTGGGAGCACTGCTGCAGCTGGATGAAGGCCAGAAGCCCATGAAGGTCCAGTCCGCGGTCATTCTTGCCGGGCAGTCCCGAACCGCAGCCCCGCACTGCCACCGAGAATTGCCCGTGGACTGTAGAGAGGGGAGAAGGCGGGGTCAGAGGGCCGGGGCCTCCGGGCGGGGCCTCGAATAGACCAGCACGAGAGGATAGACCCGCAAGGGTAGCAGGGCTGGGGCCTCAGAAAAAGCCGATCAGAGGGGACATCCTACAGACCGAGGGGCGGAACCTCAAAGAGCGGAGTGCGAGGTGAGAGGCAGGAAGAAACACGGGACACAATCGACGCGGGACGGCCAAGAGTGGAGTTAGGACGGGGCACGACCATAGAGGGGCAGAACCGCAGAAAGCAACATCAGAAGAGACTGAGACTGACAAAAAAGGCACGGGATCAGAGACAGATGCGGACTCCTAGGGGCTGTGGCCTCAGACAGGGGCGGGTCAGAGGGGCGGGGCCTCAGCCTAGGGACCCTAGGAGAAGACCCCTCTAGGGATCTCCAATACCAAAGACCCCATTGGATATGGGAAGCTGGATTGATGAGGAGAGGATTCTGGCAGGGACAGAAGAGGGCAGGGAGATCTCAATGGTGCAGGGAAAATGGATAGGGTGTGCCCTTGAAGGAAACGAGGTCCCAGATCTGGGTACTCCCAGTTCACCCCACCTGTTCGCAACTCTCCTCACCGCTTTAAGCCCTAATAGTGTGTTGAAGGGCTCAGTCCAGGCTGAAAGGAAGGAATCAGGCTGCATTATGTGGGGCGTGGCCAAATTCAGAGGGAGGAACGGTACTATAAGGAGGCGGGGCGCGGATGGAAGAGCGTGAAGGGTTATGAAGAGACCCCGAGAGCCCACTCACTAGTCTCCACCGCCCCTACGGCCTCGGTGCATACGTCCACGCCCGGCGGGCACTTCACGGTCTTGGTCTTCTGCGGAGAGCATCCGTCATCTGCTTTCTGCACGCAACTGTAACACTCCAGGGCCTGCACTCCTGAGGGTGCAGGGACCGGTAGAACTGAGCGATCCTTACTGAAGCCTCTTCCCCCAAAGGAGAAGTAGTCCTTCCCACTCCCTCTGTCTCTGTACAATCCTATTGCACACCCTTTTCCAGGGCAGGGGTAAGAAAAACCTCCCCACAAATCTGAGGCCATGGGATACATTGTGTCCCTTTCCTTCAAATCCCCTCTGTCTACAGTGGAAGCATCTTTTCCAGAGCTTCCTATGTCCAAGGTGGAGGAACCCCTGCCATGAATGAAGGGGCTCCCTCCAACAGTGTTCCACTCAGGATGGGAGAATTTTACCCACAGTCAGATCGGCTCAGTGAGTGATCCCCTCCCACAGCGCTCAGGATGGAAGAAATTTTCCCACAGTACCCCGGGGCAGGAATTCTTCCCACAGCCCTCCCCCCCCCACCAGAGAAGCTGATCTTTCCCACAGCCGGTCTGCTCAGGGTGAAAGAACTTTTCCCACAGCCCCCTCTGCTCAGGATTGGAGATCCTTCTCACAGCCCTGTCTGCAGGGGGTGGGGGAACTCTCCTCCCTAGAGCTCCCACTCAAACTCTCCCGGCAGCAGACTCACCTTCTCGAAGCAGCAGTGGCAGCAGCAGCAGCAGCCAGCCTGTAGTCCAGATCACTGCCTGGGTGCCTGCTTTCCTGGTGGGGCCCATGGTTCCGACCTGCTCTCTCGGCTTCCCCCCCTAGGTGTGCCGCCTCCCAACCCTGGCCCTCTTACCTGAGCCCAAGATGAGTAACCTCCCCGCAGGCAACCCTGGCCTTGCCCAACAAGGCCAAATCAGCGTCCGCTGTGGGGTGCGACACCCGCCCCTGGGTGCGTCACCCACAGCTGCCAAGGAGGGAAAGGGCGGGATTCAAGGTTCCCTGGCAGTTCCCAGGAGAAAGTCTGTGTGTCTGGGGGGGAGAGGGGGGAGTACTGAGGCTCACAGAGAGGGTCTACTCCATACCTAGCATTCAGTAAATACTGAATGGGTGCCTGCAGCATGCCAGCTTTGAGCTGAGTGATGCTGGAGACTAAGACAGAACCAGCGCTTGTCCTCACATAGCTCACAGTCTGATGGGGGAGACAGATATTAATCAAATAATCATACAGATTGTTATTTATGAGGACAATGAAGGAAGAAGTGAAGGGAGCTACAGGGTGGTGTGGAGTCTAGAAGTGGGGGCTGGTGGGTGAAGCTTCCCTAAGGGTATAAATGGAGTTGCCTTAGGGTCTCAAAGACTTGAAGGTTTAGTCCTTGAGGCTGGTGGGGAATGGGAGGGGCAGATCCCATTAGCAAGCAGAGGGAGCAGCCTGTGCAAAGACCTCTGTGGAAAGTAGCATGGACCATTCAAAATACAGAAAAGAGCAGTATGCCTGGAGCTCAGAAGGTGAGAAGAAAGAGGTGGAAAATGAGGCAGAAGAGCCAGGCAGGGGTGAGATCATTCGGGGCATCACAGGCCCTGAGGAGAGATTTAAATTAATTCTGAGAAAGACGGAGAATGTTTCAGGGGGTCTAAATAATCTGGGGGATACAATCAGATTTGCTTTTTAGTCTATAAGTCTGGCAAGTGATGCAAAAACTGGTCAAGAGATGAAAAGGAAAGAGGGAAGAGTGGTTTCCTAATCCCATGGAATTACATGGCCATGAAGACAGACCAACTACTGGTCTGGGCAGCAACGTGAGTCTCGTAATTCTATGTTGAGTTCGGGAGACCTTAAACAAATAAAAGATAGCATGTGACTCCATTCCTATGTCTAGAACAGACAAAACTAATCAGTGGTGAGAGAAATCAGAACAGTGGTTACTTTGGGGAGGGCACTGCCCCGGAGCGAAAGTAAGGAGACCCCACTATCTTTATCTCGGTGATAGTTACATGTGTGTACAAATATGTGACGAATCACCAAGCTGTATGGGGTCTACTTATGCACTTCACTGACTGTGAACTATTCTTACAAAAAGAAATGGTGGGTGGGGTGTAGTATAGCTCAGTGGTAGTGCTTGTGCTGAGCATGCACAAGGTCCTGGGTTCAATCCCCAGTACCTCCATTAAAATAAATAAATAATAAATAAATAAACCTAATTACCTCCCCCCGTACTTCCCCAAAAAAGAAAAAAGAAGTGGGGGGAATACCACTGTAGCCTCTATTTAAAAAAAAACAAAACTGTAGAAGGAGAGAGAGAAGACCAGGAGACCAGGGAGGGAGCTGAGCAATCTCCCAGGTAAGAAAGAAAGCAGCAGCCCCTGGCAGCTGGGAGTTGCCTGGAACTCACAGTGAGGCCTGGGCCCTCTGTTACATCCCAGCATCAACAGAACACTAACAACAGACAGGACCACCCAGTGACCTGGATGGAGAGAGACACACAATCAGGACCATTGCCTGAGCACAGAAAGAAAGAAACAAACAAGAACACTGTGTGAACCACGAAATAACTAAGCATCTCCAAACATAAGTGACTGTTTGTAATGTATTGTATTGTACTGTATTGTATTATATTATATTATATTATATTATATTATATTATATTATATTATATTATATTTTAAGCTACAGCTTTAACTGTGCTTTGTTTCTCCTAACTCATAGATAAGATTTAGCTATGGCGGGAAAAATAGCGGCTGTGTTCATAAAGATTTTATCCATTCCCCAGACCCCGTAGGGCACCCCTGTTCCCCAACAATGACTATCACTTCAGTCACCTAGGCTGGGTCACCTGGCATCAGGCTGAAGCTCAGAGAGAGAAAGTGAATGACTGATCATGAAGTCATTCAGCACTGCCCCCGACTCTCTGCCCCCCAGCCTTGAAATCCCAGCCCCACTTATGGTTTGCTGTGTGACCCTGTCTAAGTGTCTTAACCTCTCTGAGCCTCTGAGGTGTCTGGTTTCTAATAAAGGAAGGAGAGTCTTTCAGGGTGGAGTGAGGCAGTGGACAAAGTATCAAGTCTGAAGACAGACAGACTGAAATTTTAACCCTCTCTGCTGTGTGAACTCAAGCAACTCTATCTCCCTCTCTGAACTTCAGCTGCCTCCCTTGTCAAAGGGGTCTGAAACCTCCTGTCTCCTGAGGGATGGAGTGAGGCAGGGTGACAATACTATTATTATTGTGTGCTCAGGAGCAGAAGGCCCTGCAGGCTCCAGCCGCGTGGGAGAGTTTCAGGGAGGAACCCCAACTGGCCAGACCAGAAGAGCTGGCGTCTTGGGAGGGAGTGGGACCCAGGGTGGGGAGTCTCCTCTTGCTCAGGCCTGCCCGGATCCTGGGTGCCTGAGCCTGGAACCAGAGCCCCTGCCTGGCCCGGGGCCAGAGACAGAGGAAGGTTTGAATGCCGGGCCTCTACTTACACCAACTCTGTGACTCTCCCCAGCTCCTCTCCACGGGGGTCACTGCAAAATGATTTAGAACTGGTTCCCCAGATAGATAAGCAGAGGGGTCAGTGTGGAGGCACCACATCCCCAGCCCTGGAGTTCAGGCCAGGGCCTCAGACAAGCCTGGGGTGATATTTACTATGGGTTTTCTGTCCCCTGGGGAAGAGCAGGCTTGAGTCCAGTGACGTTCCCAGCCTGTCTCAGACCCACTCCCTCTGGGACGTGCTGAGATGTGTCAGAGAAGGGGTGGGGTCAGACTCAGGGCTAGCTACATAATTTGTGGGGCTCAGTACAAAATGAAAATATGTGGACCTGGTTCAAAAGACAGGAAAGAGTGTTATTAAATATAGTATTGTGCACTTAAAAATCTGTTAACAACAACAACAACCATTTGTTGACAGGATTGATCGCATATTAAATATTCTTACTGTTGAAAACATACACATAAATGGACACCAAGGAAATGTTGGAGATGGATGCGTTTATTACCTTGATTGTGGTGATAGTGTTATAGGTATATACATATGTCTAAATCCATCAAATTGTATACATTAAATATATGCAGTTTTCTTATATAAATTATACTTCAACAAAGCTATAAAAAATAAAAATTTAGAAAGTAAATGCACAAAAAAAGGCACTAAAGTAGAAATGCTCTTTTCCTTTCTTCCCCCACCTCTCTCAATCCTTATGGTGTCTAATGTCATGTGCCCTTGGGCACAAGGATGCTCGTGGGGCGAGCACAGCACAGACCCTCACAGGTATCTAGAGACCCTGCCCCCCAACTAAAACAACCTGGGTTCCCCTTCCACTAGCTGCCCGCTGCCACGTCCCACTCGAGATGCCATGAGGCACGAGATGACTGACCTTCCCGGGGGCACCCAGGCCCCTACCAGAGCTGGAGGATAGCAGAGGTCACTGGGCAGGGGCAGGCAGACAGAACCTGTCCCGAGAAGGTGGGAGATGGCAGGTGTGGGACCCTGTTTGAGCCGAGGCCCCAGTCTCCCTAGTTCATGCTCCATGTTCCTTCAGACTCCACTTACAAAACACAAATTCAAATACAAAATTAAGAATTTTCAGCCAAGGAGCTCTTCTGAACTCAGGGACCTGTCAGCTATACTAGTCACACGCTTATGATGCTGGTTCCAGAAAGGGGACCCAGTTTGTAGACAGGCTGGGGGAATGAAATGATCCAAAAATGATCTCTGACATCTGGAGGTAGAGGCCAAGGAACACCTGGGGTCCCCAAGGGCCTGGGGATGGGAGTGTTTGCATTCCCAGGCCTCAGGGGGCACATCTGGATCCTCAAGGAATCCTGGGACAGGACACCCAGGTCCTGAGATGTGAATCAGAGACCAAATGCTGTTCCAGAGAGGTTTAAGGGAGGAAAAGACCTGTTCCACACAGTGACAGCCCAGAGTCATCAGGGCTGTAGGGGAGCCCAGGTGACTGTGGAAGCCTACCAGAGATCAGGGAGAGCTTCCTGAAGGAGGGGACAGACATCTCGGGTGAGACTTAAAAGATGAAAAGTTCTATGTCTGTCTTGTTCACCACCGCCCCATCCTCAGCATCTTTCTCATCAATTTATTCAACCATCAAACAGTCCCTCAACACCTAGTTTGCAGATAGGCCCTCTGCTGTGTGCCAAGGACTCAGTAATGATGGAAACAGCCCAACTCCCACCTCCTGGGGCTCCCACCCAGCACCGGAAACACAGTCATCAGGAAAAACGACCCAGAGTAGTCAAGACTGTGATGGGGCGAGCACAAGTAGAGTGATCAGGGCTAGGGTGGGAAGGCCTGACTCAGTCAGGAGAATCAGGGATGGCTTCCTGGAGAAGGAAACATCTGAGCTATGACCTAAACACTGAGGAGTAGGGCGGAGTGGGGAAAGGTGACTTAGCAAAGCGAACATTATGTACAAAGACCAGACTGAGAGGTGAAAAGATAGCATTTTTTTCACTTTCATAGAATGTAATGTGCCCTATGGTCCTGGGGACACAGTCGTGACCAGGACAGCCCTGGCTCTGCCCTCATAGATCTCCCAGTCCATCAGGACATGGGTCCATCACCAGTGATGACGCAGGATGTTCAGGGATGGGACAGGTTAGCTCAAAGCCAGGGCTTGACCCAGCTAGGGGAGTCAGGAAGGGCTTCTTGAAGGAGCTGACATCCCAGTTAAGGCCTGAAGAATAAGGAGCTGGCTGGTTAAGGGAAGGGCAGAGGGAATAACATGTGCTAAGGCCTGGAGGGCAGAAGCCTCTGAGTTCCCAGAAATTGCCAGTAGCCCAGTCAGGTCCAAAAGGGTGGAAACAGGCGGGCCCACAAACTGAAAAAACAAAATTGCCACAAGACTAAGGACGCATGCCTCCCCACTCTCCCTCTCCCAGCCATGACCTTGGGGTGGAAGGCCTCCATTCCTAAAGGGGAGAGCTCTCACAGATACCCATACCTCAAGGGTCCTACCTAGGAGCCAAGGGGCCCTGGACCCCTGTGCTGGGAACCTCAGAAGTAACCACTGTTTTCCTTCCATGTTTAATTCGGTATCACAGGAGCACAAATAAATAGTTTCTTCCGGTCCCCGAAATCTTCCTCCCGCCCGGGACAGAGCCCCAGGGGCTGGCTTCCCGTCTGGGGAAGGCACCTGCAGCCCAGAACATCAAGGCTTAGACCAGCCCAGCCTTGAAAATTCCCAAGAGAGTTCCAAAGGGGCGGGCCAGGGCTTCCAGGTGGTGGGCGTGGCCTGGGAGGAGGGCGGGCAGCACGGGCAGGGCGGGGCCTCGCTAGGACGTCCCCCTGATAGGGTGTGGCCAATCAGGGGGCGTGGTTCTCGTCAGCGGCTGTCACGATGACGTCCATCCAAATACGCATGGCCTCAGGGCTAGGGGCCACCATGTAGAACAGGCGTTCATAAGTTTTGACACAGAACGTTAGGCGAGGGTTGGGGCTCTGGAATAAGTAGTGGAGTAGAGGTAGTTAAGAGAATGGATACGGGTTCACCTGCTTCGAATCCCACCCTTGCTAACTGATATGCTGTGTGGCATTGGGCAAGTTATTTAGACCCCCTGAATGTTTCCCCATCTGTCTTCCTAAATGATGCTACCTACTTCACTGGGTTATGACGATTAAATGAATCAACACAGGAAAGCGCTTAGAGTTTTGGGAACGAGAGGAATTTAAAAGAAGGACTCATGTCCTCTCCCTCTAGCTTACCTTCTCCTATATTAGAAATATGGATATTCTAATTTCCCCCCTCCCCCCGAATCTAGGTCCTCTTGGTTTGTAACTGGGAAAAGCTAGTGTCTACAATCCCTGTATTGAGTATTCACTTGCCAACCCTAAGTAAAGTAAGTCCCTTACATCTATTATCTGTTTTGAACCTCAACTCTAAGGAAATGGACTGACGGCTCATTTCGCACGTGAGAAACTACGACTGGAGAAGGGAAGTCATTTTCCTGATGTCCCACAGCGGGGATTCCAACATAAACTCTAAAAAGCCACAGTTGGTCACTCTCCAGAGCTTTCTAAACATTGTATCAGTTGCCAACATGTAGATTTCTGGCACTGCATTTTTATAAAAGTTCCAATTCCTGAGTTCTCAAGGAAAAAAATAAATATGGATATGACACCATGGGGCCCATTCCCATTTGGCAGTTTGTGGGCAGATGCTGAGAAATGATCATGTCTTTTCGATGTTCCCTGGCTGCCTCAGTTCTCACCCTGCCCTTTTTCAGTCATTTAGTCTCAGCTTGGCATCTGAGTTTGCCAAATTTTTGCTCTAAAACTTTTGTTCCAAGAAGAGTTACAGTGGCTGAGAGCCAGAGAATGAGCTCTTAATTTCTGGCCCCTGCAGTGAAATGACCATTGGTCTCCTCGGCTGGATGGAGGACCCTGACAGTAGGGGCTGTGGGTGGCCTTTCCTGGGAATAAACTCAGGCCTGAATGCTGAGGCTCCAACCAGGAGGGCAGGACAGAACCCAGCAGGGGCTTCACCTTGAAGGCACAGCGTAAATGGTCATAGTAGACTTCCTCGATGGCCTGGAAGTAGATGACGCCTTTTAGCTTGGCCTCTTCTTTGTCTGATGGAGGGAGGTGAGGGAGAAACAGAGCCAGTGAGAGATGTGTGTGTGTGTGTGTGTGTGTATAGAGGTCAGGGCAGGAGGGAAGTTATTGGACCCAAGTCCTGAGACTGGGGTTGGCATAAGGAACATGGTGACAGATTCTGAAGGCTGGGAGGTGAAGCAAGATGGAAGACTGAGTGTGGAGACTGGACAAGATTGGAGAATGGGATCCTAGGAGCTGGAATCCTAGGTCCCCGAGAGCCTTGGTCCAAGAAGGGAAGGGACTCAGGGAGAGGTTCAGGTCCTTCCTAGAGAGGAAGGAGGAGGGGCCTGGGCCCCTGGGTTTAGGGTGCTGGTAATGTCCAGACTCCTCCTGTGTATCTTATCTTGGGGTTTGGGAAGCCTGAATTGTACAAAACTGTTACCCATGTTACTCAGGAGGGCTGGGTCACAATGGGGAAAGAGCTAGGGATCCAGACTCATGGGCCTAAGAGAGAAGAGGGCCAGGGGTGAGACTTCTAGGTCTCTGGAGTAAAAGTCTGGCATCACCTCTTCCAGGGTCCTGGGGGCCTGAGGCCCAAGGCGGCCAGGCTGCGCTTACCCGCATAGTAGGCCAGGCGGCGGGCCTGGCGGTCAAAGCAGAACCACCTCTTCCTCCAGGTCTTGATGCGGCCACCCATCTTCACCAGGTATCCGCGGCAGCATGCTCCGGACACCTGTATATGCGGGCAGTTATCCGGGTTGTGGCCCCAGCGTTCTAGGTGCTGCCGCAGATCCAAGACTCGAGGGCCTGGAGGGCCAGATGGGGGAGTGGGAGGGGCCTGGGGAGGGAAGAGAATGGGACAGCTGATGTCATAGGGTCAGGAGGGGGTCCTGTAGCTCCAGTGTAAGGCTAGGCATGGCCTTTAAACAGGAACATCAACAATGATGATCAAGGTGATATTTCCAACAGCTGCGCTAATTGACTGACATTGCCTGGGGCTTTACCAGCATCAATTCCTTGACTCCCCACGGCCACCCTTGGGACAGGGCTACTATGAGCCCCATTCTTCAGATGGAGAATACAGAACCTCCTTCACATGGAGGTACAGAAAAGGAAAATAACCCAGCCAAGGTCACACAGTGGCAGAGCTGGGATGCAAACCCAGGTCTTCCTGACCCTAGTACTGACCCTGAAACACTAGAGGCATGTCACAGAAGTAAGGGACCCTGGTGGGACCTACTGCCTCTGTAAAACAGGGGCCAAATAGTGAGTGATTAATAAATTAGAGCACTGTTTCCATTATTATTATTGCTGATGACATTATTCTTGTTGTGATGAAATTAGTGATTATTACCTGTGCTAAGCACTTTATAAGGTATAATCCCTCTGCCCCTTCAAACTCTCCTGGAGGGTAAGTACATCATTTTACAGATGTGGAAGCCAAGACTCAGAGAGGTTAAGTAACTAGGCCCAAGGCACACAGCCAGAGCTGACTGAGCCAGGACTCCCCAGGCAGAGTGGTCATCTCAGGTGGCCATAAAGGGGAGAAGAATTAAGGCCATGAAAGTGTCTACTGCTCTGAGGCCCGGCCTGATTATACCTGTTCTTCCCAAATCATCCCTGCAAAGAATGGTAAGATCCCCGTGGCCACGCTGAGGCTCAGAGCAGTACACCTCAGGCTTCAGCATGCAAGTGGACCCTACAGGAATCTTGCAAAAATGCAGACTCGGATTCAGTCTGCACAGGGACCCCGATGCTACTTGTCCACAGACCACACTTTGAGTACTGGGGGCTGAAAAGACCGAAGCAAGGCCAAAGCAAGAAGGGATGAGAAACAGAGGTGAGACTCATTGGATGGAGACAGAGGAGAGTGAGGAGGGGAAGTGGGGAGGAGCCCGGAATGCACAGGAGGGGAAGGGGTGCTTAAAGGGCACCCCTGGGGTCATCTCACCAAATCTGCACAGTAACCCTAAGGTTCTCCATGTATGGAAGGTTCCACTAGGTGTCTGGCACCATGCCAAGTGATAACCTCATTGCCTCTCCCAAACAACTGTCCTCATTTCACAGAGAAGGAAACTCCCATCAGGCTTTCTGACCTGGCCATTCTGATTCCAGCCATGAATCCCAAAGACACACTTGCTTACGCATACAAGAAGGCAGCCCGAGGTGTAAGGGGGCGGTGGCGGGGGGGACAATGCACACAACACAGGGCGGGCTATTTAATAAGTGATGATGTTACACAGCGAGTGCTTCATTTTTAATGAGGTAGAGCTTAGGCCTGACAACCCAGAAGGCTCCACCTGCCTTCCTGCTTTATTTCTCTCCCTGGCTCTTAACGGCACCTGAACTGCTACTTGTTTTACTTATTGATGCTGCTTTTTGTCTATTTTCCCGCTACACACAGCTTCCCCGAGGGCAGGGATTGTCACTTTGGTCACTGCTGTCACTCAGGGTCTACCACATGGTAAGCACTCCTTAAATATTGGGTTGAAATAAATAGGGAAAGGCCAAATGGCTGAGAAAACAAGGTTGGGAACAATGTGCTCGTTTACAAGGAAAATAAGTTCACAAAATATGGTCTGATTGGTGTCTGGAAAAGTAGAAAAAAAGATCTGAAGGCTTCTCAACAATAGAAAACACCTGCACTTCCAGCAGGGCAAAGGGAGACCTTCACGTTCCCAAATTCTATAGTGCTTGTTATAACAAAAAAGTATCCGTGCTATTAGTGGAGGTAAAAATAACATTTTAATAAGAAGCTGTCAGCTAAATCCAGAATACGAGAAACTCTACAGGATAAGTGACTTTGTCCATGAACAAATGGCACTTTTTTAAGTGGGGGAGGGAGCAGATTTCAGAAATTTAAAAAAAAAATTTCGAGGGGGGTAGGTAATTAGATTTATTTATTTACTTATCTATTTATTTTAATGACGGTACTAGGGATTGAACCCAGGACCTCCTCCATGGTAAGCAGGAGCTTTATCACTGAGCTATACCTTCCCCCCATCTCAGAGATTTAAGAGACGTTTTAACTACATGCATCGTGTGTGCTTTGTTTGGATCCAGATTCAAATAACCAACTTTAAAAAGACATTTTGGAGATCATTAGGGAAACGTGAATATGGACTATATATTAGAATGTTTCAGAATTTTAATAATCTCATAAAGTATGACAGTGGAATTTTTCTTACGTTAAAAAAAAGCATGTCTGTTGGAGACACATAGTGAGGTATGGATGAAATGATACAATACCTGGAATTTGCTCTAAAATACAGGAGGAATCAGTACAACAAAGTTGGCAAGGAAAACAAGATTCAATATTGATAACCTTGAGCTGTGTGGTAGGTATATGGGGCATTTATTAATCTATTCTATCTTTGAACATGCTTGGCTATTTCTGTAATAAAAGTTTTTTTAAAGCAATCAAACAAGTAAAACAGAATTTAAAATAGTATTTAAAAGCTCCAGCATGTGGTTACCCTCATTCTACAGTAAGTGCTCACACTGTCACCCACTTACAGGAGAGGAAACTGAGGCACAGAAAACCGAGCATGTCACCCGAGGACATGCCATGGAGACAGACGACCCTGAGGGAAACAGAAACTAGATCTTTTGAGTCCCCCTTTCCTTGCCAAGCTGGGGACACTTTTCTGTGCCACTGGAGGAGAGGATGGGGGAGATGAGAAAGGGCAGAGGCCAGGGGACCAGACAGAGCGGGGTGGAGGGGGACTGACCATGATGGCAGGTACAGCGGGGCCCGAGGAACCTTCCGTGCTCCTCCTGGTCCCTTCCTGTGGATGTGAAAGAAAGCATCAAGGAGAATGCTCACATAAGAACTGGGGACAATGTCCTGGGTTCCTGGGTCCTGAAGGAGGAGGGGCGGGGGGTCTGGGCTCCTGGATCTGAGGGAGGAGGGGCTGAATCTCCTGACCCCAGGGAGGAGGGTCTGGGGTCTCACCCTGGCCTGGAGCAGCCGCTCCCTCTCTGCCACCGCCTGCTGCAGGAGCCGCTCCATGTGGGCGATGTCTGGGTGGAGGGCCCCACAGCTGGGAGGAGGGGACAGAGACCAGAACAGGTTACAGGGGCCCAGCCTCTTCCTCCCATCTCCCCACCTTCTCCCTGACATCTCACCTATTCCCAGGGCCACAGTTCAGCAGCTGATAGAGGGGGTGTCTCCCAGAGTCTCCTGATGCTGGTGGGAGGGCCGAGGCCTCCAGGGCTCCTGGGGGAGAAGAGCTGGGGCTAGGGGGCTGAGATTCTGATTCTCCCATGTCTAAGCCCCTCCATCTCTCCCCCAGTGGAGGCACCCAGGTTCCTGTGCTGCAGAGGGCTGGTGACGGGGGAAGAAGGAACAGGGGACGGGGGCTATACTCACCAGTACAATGGAGGGACAGAGGCCGTGGGGATCCCCTCTGGCTCCCTCTCTCTCCCCTCTTCCGTGTCAGGCTTCCCGTCCTCTGCAGGCCAATGGAGCCCTGAAAACACACAGGGCCCACGCACACCGGAAAAGATGCTCAATCTCAACCATTAAGTCAGAGAACCGCCAAGTAAAACCACTATCTCATTGGCACAGATCAAAAAGCGACTGTAAACATGATGCTGAGTGAAAGCAGCCAGTCACAAAGGACCACACAGTGTAATGTCCAGAACGGGCAGATCTAGAGACAGGAAGTGGTTTAGTGGTTGCCAGGGGCTGGGAGGAGAGGGGAATTGAGGGGTGACGGCTAAAGGGGACAGGGTTTCTCTGGGGGCAATGAGTATGCTCCAAAATTGATTGCGGTGATGGTCGCGCAACTCTGTGATTATACTAAAAACCACTGAATTGTACACTTCAAATGGGTGAGTGGTGGGGGCAGGGAATAGCGCAGTGGTAGAGCTCATGCTTAGCATGCACGAGGTCCCTGGGTTCAATTCCCAGTATCTCCACTAAAAAAACTAAAAAAAATACCTAATTACTTACCCCCCAAATAAATTGGTGAGCGGTAGACTAGGTGAATTGTTATCTGGATAAAACTGTTGGAAAAAAAAAAAGCCCCCTGTGCTGGTGAGGATGTGGGAAGCCCAGACACTTTCCCATTATGCCGGGGCATGTTTTATTGGAGCCACCTTTATGGAAGCCAATTTAGCTCTTCTTTAAAAATCAAAATGACAAATGCATAAACCTTTGAGCCCCAATTCTACTTCCAGGACTATATAGCCTGTGGATACACTCAGACATGTGCAAAATGACCTGAGTTCAAGGTTACTCCCTGCAGAAGCCTGGGGACCACCTAAGTGCCCATCACAGGGGCTGGGGTCTATAAGTCAGGGATCATTTGTCCAGAGGAAAACTCAGAAGCATATGAAAGGAAGAGGATGCTCCTCATATCAAGTAGAAAATCATGTCCAAGACAAAAGCAAGTATAGAGCAGTGGAAAGAGGATACTACCCATGCATAAAAAGAGGGGGAAAGGATATACATGACTGACTGTATCAACACAGAGTATCTCTGGGAAGATGCAAGAACCTGGTAGCCCTGGCCGCCCCGGGGAGGGGAACTGCGTGGCTGGAAACAATGGCGGGAGGCTTTTCTCTGAATATCCTCCTGGACCCTTTGAACTTAGAACGAGGGGACTGTTAGGTTTTTAAAAAATAAAAAATAAACATGACAACCAAGTGCAGCCTGTGTTCCTGAACCAGAAAAAAATTTTTTTTGTTTGTTTTTTTGTTAGAAAAAAAACATTTGTGGACAACTGACAAAATATGAGTAACATCTGTGGACTTGAACAGTATTATTTCAATGTTAGCTTCCTGAATGGTCACTGCACTGTGGTTATGTACAAGAATGACCTTGACCTTAGGTAATAAATGTAGAAGTATTTAGGGGTAAAGGGGAATTATGCTTCAGAAAAGAATACATTGTGTGTGCGTGTGTGCGTACAGAGAGAAGAAAGCAAATGTCAAATGTGGGAACATGTTAATTACAGAATCTGGGTGACAGGTATACAGGAATTCTTTCTACTCTTTCTGCAATTTTCCTGTAAGTCTTAAATTATTTCAAAATAAAAAAAATACCAAAAAATAAAAATAAACTTATTTGAGAGTAAATAAGTAAAGAAATAAACCTGAAATAATTTCTTAAAGAAAAAAACAGCAACGGCTCTGCATGAAAATAAAAAACAATAAAAATAAATAAGTTGCATAATTTGAGCACCGAAAGGGATATTCATTGCCATAGATGGTAACTCATCCGATATATGTAATCCATGAGTTAATAATAATACTAAAAGAAAACTCGAATTGGTCACCTTGGAGGATGCAGGAGAACCAATCCTTTATTTTAAAGACAGGTGAACAAAGTGAAACCATCAAGCATTTTTCCTGCATTTCCTACAAAAAACCATATCCCTGGGTAGCCAAATAATCAATGAAGGCAAGTCCTTCTTTATAGAAGTACTTCAATCAATAACTAAAGGACTGACAGATGGAATTTTACCACTCATGACCTCTAGTGAGCCAATCAACAGAGGCACGGAGGCCACAAAAAGAGAATCAGACGCACAGCCCCAAGAATACTTGCCAAAGTGCTGACCCTGCATCTGCTCAGCGCCCCCATCAACTTTACAGGAAACAAAGAGGCAGAGCGAGGTGACATGGACCCCCGTGGATGCAATCAGCAAACTCTGCCTGGGACACTCTACAGAGCAACAACCTGCTTTCTTCACCAGATAAATTGCAAGGCGGACGATAAAAGAAATGGTTGGGATTGGGGTGGGGTCTATGGGTTAAAGGAGACTTAAAAGAAAGAGCCATGGAGGGGGAAGAGGATAGCTCTACCATAGCTCAGTGGTAGAGCGCGTGCTTAGTGTGCACAAGGTCCTGGGCTCAATCTCCAGTACCTCCATTAAATAAACAAATAAACCTGATTACCTCCCCACTTCCAAAAAAAGACACCCACACAGAAAAGACAGCCACACACAAAAAAGTAAGACTCAACTATAGTGTTTAGGGATAGACACATGACTGGTGGAACTTTAAAGAAATTTAAGAAAGATACTACGATAAACATCAGTCCAGGGCTACCCTCCAGGAGACTGATGGAGGAGCATGTGGGGGCTTCTGGACCGGCTGCCGGGTCTATCTCCTGACACAGGTGGCTGGTACCAGACTGTTTCCACAAAATAAATGTAATCATTAAGCTGTGTATGTGTTGGATGTGCGTTTCTATATTTGTATTACTATTTTTAATAATGAAAAGTTTAAAAAAACATAGCCATGTTTTGGCTATTGTAAATAGTGCTGCTATGAACATTGGGGTGCAGGTGTCCTCCTGAAGTAGGGTTCCTTCTGGATACAAGCCCAGGAGTGGGGTTCCTGGGTCATACGGTAAGCCTATTCCTAGTCTTTTGAGGAATCTCCACACTGTTTTCCATAGTGGCTGCACCAAACTGCATTCCCGCCAGCAGTGTAGGAGGGTTTCCCTTTCTCCACAGCCTCTCCAGC